AAAAAAAAAAATTCTTAACTAAATAAAAATAGATCAAAATTTGCAGATGCAGCTAAAGCAGGTTCCAAGAGAAAATTATAACTTTAAACGTTTATTTTAGAAAACAAGAAATCTATAAAATCAATAATTCAAACTTCTAATTCATGAAGGTTATATAAAAAAACAAACCCCAAGCAAGAAGAAAATAATAAAGAAAAAAGGAAAAATTGACTGAGGTGGAATGATAGCTTGACCCAGGATTTCAAGTTTGGCCTGGGCAACACAAACAATGAATAAACAATAGAGAAAGTCAACAAAACATGAAGTGAAATTCTTGGAAATTATCAAAATTGAAAAACTTCTAGCTAGATGGATTTCAGAAAAAACGGACAACGGTCAGAAATAAACTGACCACTATTAGATACTACAAATTAAGCAGATAAGAAGGAAGATTCTAAACAAACTAAAGGCAAAAAATTAGACAATGCAGATTAAATGGACATTTCACTTGAAAATGATGAATTATCTAAAGCAGCAGTTCCCAACCACAGCATTAGGAAGGTTGAGAACCACTCATCTACAGAGAAAGAGAAAACATGAATCACCAAAAGAAGAAGAAAATCTGAAAACCTCAAATTGGTTTGCAATTTAAAAAGTTCCCACCAATATTTTATTCAGGCCCAGAAGACTTGAAGGTAAAATCAATTAAATGTTTAAGAATTAATGGGAATATCATAGTAACTCTTTTTGGACAAAAGAAAATTGGGTAATACTTTCCAACTCATTTAATGGGGTGACTATTATATTGTTACCTGAACCAAAAAAATACTAAAAGAAAATTACAGACTACAATCCATGATGAATACCAATACCAAGAAAATTAACAAAATACTAGCAAACTGGGTGGCACCTGTAGCTCAAAAGAGTAGGGCGCTAGCCTCATATGCCGGAGGTGGTGGGTTCAAACCCAGCTCTGGCAAAAAAAAAAAAAAAAAAAAAAAACTAGCAAACTGAATAAGGTGACATGTAAGCAGCATAACACATCATGAACAAATGGAGCTTGTCTTAGGAATGTAACAAATAAACTTTTGAAGTTCAATAATGTAATGAATCATAGTATCAGACTATAATCTTTTCAATAAATGAAGAAAAAGCATTAGATAAAATTCAGTATGGTTTAAAAAATCTCAACACATGGGGCGGTGCCTGTGGCGCAAAGGAGTAGGGCACTAGCCCCATATGCTGGAGGTGGCGGGTTCAAACCCAGCCCCAGCCAAAAACTGCAAAAATAAATAAATAAATAAA